GACAGACGCAGCACTCGAGCGCGCAGCTCTCGGTCCTCAGCCGTGGAGAATCTGTCCTCCTTCACCATCATGGGGACTTGAACGATGTTGTACTTGTCCACATAGAAGCGACTCATTTCTGTGCTGTTGGGGTCGAACGGACTATCCCAGTCACCTTGAGAACAAAGAGCTTTACATCAAATCCCAGTTGTGTAGTGCACATCATTGCTCTGTCTCCACAGGCACAGAAACTCACCCTGAAAGAAAATGGTGTTGAGGAGCATCATCTGCGTCAGCGGCTCGACGCTCGTCACCATTTCGTTCACTTTGCCGCCGGTCTTTCTGCTCACATACTCGTTGATGGTGCTCTTGCTGAGCTCTGTCTCACTGAAATCCACATTGTTCACATCGGCACCGAAGAACGTCTTGATCTGATCGCTGAAGACTCTCTCGACGTTAAAGCGCTCGTCTACGAAGAGTGCCGTGCCCTGCTCCATGTGCAGTTTTCCGTCCTGCGAGATGTTCTTCTGCAGCTGCTCAAAGAGCTGTGGGATGAGCGTCGCGTCTCCAGTCCCGTCCAGAGAGTCCAGATTCAGGCCCTTCGCCATCTGACTGCGTGTCGAGCCCTTGGAGGCCAGTAAGAGCGTGGCGAAAGACGTGGAAACACTCAGCGGCGAGAAGAAGATGTTTTTGTCATGATAACTTGATATCTTGCGATAGAGGTTCATGGCAAAGTCAATATTTTTGAAGGCCAGATCCGTGACGTCAGGAGTTTTGGGCTCTTGACTGTTAAGGACGCACAGAAAACCAGAGGAATAAATGAGGGAGAACAGCACTCTTAACTCCATTTCGTAATCGTTTTTCAAAAATCCTTTGACCTGTTGATACAAAAAACAGCTTATATTGAGTTTTAATTATTCTAGAGAAACGTTGCTTCATATTAGACACACAAGGACCCGCGATTCATCATTCTTCCCTCTGTTCTTTACTGAAGGATTTCTAGAAGTACTAAAAGCAACAAACATGGTGGCAAAACACTGAACAATAAACCAGCCCTAACATCTGAAAATATTAACTATAAGCACGCGCATAAAGTAACATGCATACTCACTGACAGGCTGCCGAGGATCTTTCCCGTCTGTTGTGTTCTGACTGTTTGCAGAGACAAAGTTCAGTGTACTTTTTTTTATAGATTATCTATTAACAATCAAACAATTTTAGACCTGTCTGAAACAGATCAGTGATGGCAGATCACCAGGTTATTCTCACTTGTTTGAGTTTCAGTTTTGATGAAATCTTAAGTGCTTTAATGAAAGAATGGTAATTGTTCTCATCCTCAGGCCATTCAAGATGTAGATGAGTTTGTTTCTTCGTGGGAACAGATTTGGAGAAATGTATCACTCCATCACTTGCTCACCAATGGATCAGGTTTGAATTTAAAGCGTCTCAATGCTGGATGTGTTTCAGCTTTAGTCTTCTCCAGATGTGAACTGATGGACTGGAGTGCTTGGATTACTTGTGGATTATTGTGATGTTTTCATCAGCTGTTTGGATTCTGACGGCACCCATTCACTGCAGAGCATCCATTGCATCCAACTATTCCTTTAAGAATGATTATAGGAAACTTGCTGTAATTTCATTCAGACTTTAACAGATATTCATATCTACATAACTGCAGGTCATCAACTTAATAGGATAGCTCGGCCAAAAATGATTCTGTTATCATTTATTCGGCCTCGGTTTTACAGTCAGGAGAAATCACAGAGAAAAGAGAATGTTTGACTTTGTACATTGTGTATTTTTTTTGTATATTGTTATTTCCTATTTACTTATCCTGGGTTTATTGTTTTAATTATCAGTCTCGTCTTGTCACTGTCATTCTGTTACACTGTGGAGCTTCTGTCACGAAAACTATTTCCTCGTATGTGTAAACATACCGGGCAATAAAGCTCTTTCTGATTCTTTCAATTGGATATGATTTTAATGTGGGAATGTTTCACAGTTTTGACTGGTTTCTGGGAGTATCGTTCTGAGACAGTACATCTCTCCATCATGTTTACTTGTACACTGCTGCAGCTGAATGACGGCATTCAGATAGACTCGTTCTTCTTCTTTCCATCGTGAATGAAAGTCCAGCGCTAAATGCTGAAGGAACATCTGACATCTTCAAGAGACTCACAGAATCAAAATATTCCAGAGAGAAGAAACAAACAACATCCACTCAGGGGGAAAAGAAACGTTTTTATTTAAGAAACAGTAAGTGTATATAGGAGTTCAAGAATAACCAATCACTTAAAAACTACTGCTGAATGTGAAACTAGTTCAGAAACGCTGCTGTGCCACCAAACGCATGAAATCATAGAAAAGAATGTGAAAACCATGAGAAATCACAACCTAGATCCAAAAGAGGGACGACTGATGAACGACTAAAACAAGTGTAGGTCTGAATCTGTATGAAGACTGATCTCCACAGCAGCATCTGCCCTCACTGAGCCGTCTACCTAGGGCACGTCACCCGCCGCTCACCGGTGACCAGCAGAAGGTCTTCACTACAGTCCACAGAGGAGAAGAACAGAGATCCAGTAACGCCAGTAAAGCCCAATGGTCCCAGAATGCAGGAGTGATCCCAGCGCTGACAGCTCCCTCCTCACGCCGCGGTCTCGTCTCGCTCGTGTGTCTGTCTGAGAAAGAGGAATGAATCGGGAAAGGCTTCCCTTTCACTTCGTTCAACTCAAAGAGGAGAAGCGAAGCTAAACGAATGTCCCTTTATTACACAGCAGGACCTGATCGGTCCCGGGCCAGTTCTGAGAGGAGATGTGAGTCCCATCATTCCCAGAGAGAGGTCGGGTCGAGGGCATTCAGGGCGTCCGTCACCGGCGCTGATGGACCGTCACTGGCTGGGTTTGGTCCCGCTGTCCTTCCCTCCGTCTGCAAAACAACATGATCTGCTGAGCAGCGCAGATCCCAGACAGATTCATAAAGCAGACGTCTGTAATCAGGAAGATGACGGCAGACAGAATCTCTTACCGGCGGAGCTGCTGTGGTGAGCGGTGGACTGAGCTTGCTGCCTGTGAGGAGATCAGACCGTCATCATTACTCTGCGCCAGAGCGTTACTGTATTATAATTACTTTTCCTGATAACGTAGTAATGTAATGCATTACACTTTAAATGTATGCAATTTGATTACCTAATGTGAATAAATTTACGTTACTTAAGTTACAAATGCAGTGTTAAAACATATGAAGTAAATATCATGTTTTGTGCGTCAGTATGAGAATGCGAGCTAAAAATGCAGACAAGTCCTACAACATTTAGATGCAATGAAAGGTTTCCTATCATATTTCAAAATGTTGCACTCAATTTCACATTTTAGTATTGCATTATAGTTTGGGAAAAGTTCACCTCAAGAATGTGTACTTCATGTCACAATAACACTGATATAAGTAAAAATAAATGACTCATCAGAATGAGATCCTCCACTGGATTAAGCCGCGTCGCATCGCATTCTTCTTCTGAGGTTAATTCAAGGTTTATTCCTCACAGCGCGTCTTGTTCCAAAAACGAAAAGCAGCCTAGATGAACTTGATGAATCTTAACGCTTTGTTTACAGAGGTGATGTGGGAGTTTATATGTTGGCGCGTCTCAAGCCTGGCTTCGTGTGGATGATTATCTTACAGAGCAAGATGCGCGGGTGTGACCACATTATAGGAGAGCTCAGACGGGAAAGACTGTACTTCACATTGGTTTTAAATGAATTACTTTATATTTGTTTTCAAGATTACTTCATTTAAAAACAGACACTTCAAGCTTTCTTAAGATATATTTCTCATGTCTGTGTGTCAAGTATTCGCTGAATTTTCGTTCATTTTAGTGACGCATTTCAGAAAGATATTCGCGGAGACTGAGAATGCAGAAAGCACATCCTATTTGTTTTCTTTATTTTACAAAAGCACAATATTTTGTTGGTATTGCGAGTGTATACAAATAAACAAACTTTTACAGTTTCAAATGATGTATTGCTCTTACGTGCAAACAAAAATTACAAAACATATGTTTATGTTCTTTTCGCTGTTATCAGGAAAAAATGCAAGTGATCGTTCAAGTTGCTGTTTTGATACTTAAGTAATTTTTCAGTATTTTTTAGGTTTAAAAAATTTAAACTTGAAAGTAATTAGTAATCTGATTACTTTTTAAATGCAATAATCAGTAATGTAATCAAATTACAAGTTTAAAGAATTAATTAGTAATTTGCAGTCGATTACTTAGCGCTCACCTGTCGAAGTAAGCCTGTCTCCTCCTGCGCAGCTCCTCCGCTGTCATCGCTTCCTTCTCGCCTCTTCCCGATTCGTGAGACGAGCCCGCCGTCACAGTGGCGCTGGGGCTTCTGGGATCGCTTCCACCTACAGCCGGTAAAGAGCGAAAGAACAGCAGATCAGAAAACGGCTCTGTTCTGGCCTGAAGCACGGGAGAGGACTGTGATCTTTAGATCTGCACTGTTTCTAGTGGTGGGAACGAATAAGTGTTTTTCAACACATCTCACGGAAACACAAAACACTAAACTAGATATTCTGAGATTTTAATTGAGGGGTCATTCCGTGTCAACCAGAAGTCCAAGGTTCAAATTTTTGATTTTGCTAATATTTCTTTTTGGAGAAAGGTAAACATGTATAGTGATGGCAGCCAAAATATTAAATGTTATGAATGAATATTTACTGAGTAATCCACTATTTTGTAGAGGAGGTCAAAATGGCCATTTTCACCTGAGAATCAGAGCCAAATAACAGGGGTAAAAATGACTTTAGCAATCTTTGTTGCATTTTGTGGCAATGGTGACCTTTCAAAAATGGGAAAAGAGCACTTTTCAAGTTTTTTCTCCAAAGTTTGCAGGCCTGTAACTCAAAAAGTATTAAAGATATCTTAATGCCCTTTTAGATATTGGGTCTTAACAAACTTCCCTTTTGGCATCTTCATTTTTAAAGGGTTAGTTCACCCAACACCCGATCAACACACCCCATCAAAACGGATCCGCTCAAGACACACCATCAAATCACAGCGCATCCGCTGAAGACACACCATCAAACCACAGCGCATCCACTCAGGACACACCAT